TTATGCTTTGGAAGCACAAGACACCTCCAGTCTGATAAATCAACACCACATTTCAGTTACAAATACATAAGTGATGGAGAATATATATGATTAAAATTATTATTATTATTATTATTATTATTATTATTATTATTATTATTAGTAGTAGTAGTAGCAGCAGCAGCTTGAAAAATAAGTTATATTTAGGGTTGAAGTCTTATTTAAAGACTCATTCTGCTTTGTATGGGAGGAATTGGAGAATGAATTAAAATTGTCCGTGGTCTTTCGGGAAAATATTCCAAGTTCGCGAGAGTATCTCGTATTCTTCCCATTCGTTCACGCTTGCGCTACATCAGTTGGTATCCAAAGACCGGGTACGTTCCACGATGTTGCCAAAGAGAGGAAACGCTAACGATCCTACCATCGACGATCAATTGCAACGGATGGACGATCAAATTCATGGTATGGATGATCGATTTAACAAACTTTCTACGGGGATTGAGGAATTACGGGTTGCTATGAGTGCCATGATGTACGAGGTACGTACGAACCGCGAAGGGACTGACCGGGGCCATCGCGGAGGGATGCGCGGAGGTCGTGGGGGTCGAGGTTATGGCAGGGCGCCCCGCCGACGATCACCACCGCCACTGCTGACCGGTGATTTTTTTGGCGAAATATCGAGGGAAAAAAATCAGGACCACGACTTACGGTGGAGTGATGTTTTTGACAAACCTCCACGTAGGGCCGACGACTGGCGAGCGCGTGGCAACCATGGCGGATATGGCGGATTTCGGCGCCGCGTCGGAGGGATGATGCGCGGTGGCCAAGGACCGACGAGGAGGTCTGGTTTGACCGCGATGGTCTGGACTCGGACGAGGAAAGGGATGGTTTTACTCCTTATTTTGGGCTTGAAAACCCACAAGGAGGCTTTGACTTCGAGTCTGAAGATCCCCCGGATTTCGAGCCCGACACGTGCGATATGTACGACGGTCCGCTGATTTTTGATAAGGAGCCTTCGGTGACGGAGTCGCGTATATGCGACGATATGGGTCCCGTGTGGTACGTAGCAGAGGTTGAACCTTCGATTCGGAGACTATCGGTCGGACCCGATTTCTGGCGTCTCTTGTCCAACGATGGTTTTTGGGAGCCGCAGTCGAGGTTTAATAACTGGTGGTCCATTTTCCAACTGTCTATCACGATGTCTCCAACCAACGGGATGCTTGGCCGTAATTATGAATTTGAGCGCGGCGACCGTTGTGGTATGTTTGATGTTAATTATGCTGTGTGGGATATGCGTATGGAGGCATGCACATGTGCCTTTGCATTAGCTCATTCCTTGCCAAACTTATGTTTACCTTCGGTGTTGTTGGGCGTTCTTCAAGTTTCGTGTTCGATCGAGGACGGAGCGGGACACACTTCTCTAACGGAAACGGGTCGGATTCGAGGCCGAATCGTACTCCTGATAAGTTATGTTTAGGGTTGGAGCAGCAGCAGTTTGAAAAATAAGTTATGTTTAGGGTTGGAGTCTTATTTAAAGACTCATTCTGCTTTATATTGGAGGAATTGCAGAATGAATTAAAATTGTTCGTGGTCGTTCAGGAGAGTATCCCAAGTTCGAGAGAGTATCTCGTATTCTTCTCATTCGTTCACGCTCGCTACATCAAGATGACTTCAGTTAGTGCTGTAAAAGAATCGAATTGAACCGAACCAAGCTTGGGCTGTTCGAGCTCGTTCGCAACAATGTTTGTGTTCGTTCGTTTATTTTTTGAGCAAAAAATAGCGTTTGAACTCGTTCGTTTAATTGTTGGTTCGTATTAGAATAATTTAATAAATAACCTTTTTAAATATGTTTGATTAACTCGAAATTTGTTCGTTCGAATTCGTTCAAGCTCGAAAATAAAAAAATAATATAAAAATATTTTTACACTTTAGATTTTTTATTAAAAATATTATGTAAATATATAAAAAATAAAATAAAATTATATTAAATTAATGTTCGCGACAATAATCGAACGTTCGTGAACGAGCTCGTGATCGTTCGATTATTAAACGAGCCTAATTTCTGTTCGAACTCGGCTCGATTAACAAATAAACGAGCTTTTGTCGAACACGAACGAGCTCGAACGTTCAGTTCGTTTACAGCTCTAAGTTCGTTTACAGCTCTAACTTCAGTACATTCCAATTATAAGAAAACACAAAACACCAATAGAAGCTCATGACATGTGCTCAAGAAAAAACTGGAGGAACAATGCACTAAACTCTCAAAGAGCTACGAAGTTTTAATACTACCATAATAATACAGAGTTGGGGGAAAAAAATGATGCTCAGACGAGCTTTTTTCAGCTCCGATGGCCTTCTCTTTTTCCCGGGTATAATGTAAATCACTCTTACCTTAGAATTAGCATAACACAGTACCTTCAAGACTATAGCTCAAATTCCTCAATAACTGCAAAATCATTTCAAATCCAGATACCATGTAGTATCTGCATTACACACCACATTTCACCAAAAACTTCGAAAAACAAAGGATGAGATATAATTGTTTGTTTTGTTCACTTGGCGTAAAAAAATCTCATCACGGCCCGATCAACGGCAGCTCCCTTACCCTTGAGAGCCTCCCTCACCTTAGCCGCCTCAGGCACGGCCCCTTTCTCCCTTAGCATCTCCCCCATCTCCTTCCCTTCCTCCTCCAGCCCGGCCCGCATCAGACCCTCAAACACCCCCACACAAACCCCAGCATTCGGGGTCATACCCTTCCCCACCATCTCCCCCAAGTACTTTTTCGCCATTTTCAAGTCCCCACTCTCGGCCAGCCCCTTAATCAGCACCCTGTACGTGTACGCATTCGGCAGGACCCCGCTGGACAGCATCCTCAGGTACACACGGTGGGCTTCCTTGGCCTGGCCCGCTTTGGCGTAGGCCTCCATAACGGCCGTGTGGGCCACCACGTCCGGCATCTGCCCTTTGTCCTTGATCTGGGAGAAAAGCTCCAGGGCCTCGTGGGTCAGCCCGTCCTGGGACAAACCGTCGAACATCTTGACCGCGCTGTTCATCAGCCCGTCCTCCCGTATCTTGGCGAACACCTCCTGGAGGTTTTTCGGGTCTTCGGGCTCCTCCACGGCGGGCTTGTTGCTGAACGGGTTGTACGGCGGCGGGAGCTTGGGCTTGGGCGATCCCTTCTCGGGGGATGAGCTCTCCGCGTCGGAATCGGAGTCGGAGGAGAGAGAGAAGTTCACCAGCTTGGGATTTCGGTTTTTAAGTGGCGGCGGCGGAGGTGTTTCCGTCGAAGTGCAAAGTGTTCTGGTGAGGGAGAACGCCGGAGATGGCGTTCTGGGGATTTTTGCGGCGGCGGGAGGGGTTAGAGACTGGATAGAGGGGCGGCTGTAAGTAAAGAGAGAAGGGTGCTTGAATCTGGAGGTGAAGAAGAAGGAGAAGGATCGGGCAGCCATGATTTTGGTAGCCATTGGAGGCGGTGGTGAGAAAGCTACTGTGCTGTTGGTGGTGGGAAAGATCTAGAAAATGAAAGCCATTGGGTCAGGCCGGCTAGATTTAGTTTTGGGCTTTAGATAAATAAATTCAGTTCATTTTTCACGCAGTTTATTTTTACAAGTTTATTCAAAAAGTTCAGTTAGAATAAAAGTTCTTTATTATTATTATTTTTTTTTAATAATTATCGTGCTCAATACAAGATTAAGTTTTAAGTTCAAGAAATTCTTAAGGGGCAGAACCCCGATCGGATGAGCTCGGGGGGCCAAAGGTCATGTGATAGAACCTCAAGCGATTAGATATGTGGCCAAGTGTTCCAAGGAAAAGGGACAAAAGCAAAAGTAAATGAGCTCAGGGGTCCAAGGACATATGGCAAAACCTCGAGAAGTTATCACGAGGGTCAAGTATTCCAAGGTCAAGGAGTAGTAAACTCCAAGCAGATGAACCGGAGGGCTTAAGGACATATGGCAGAACCTCAAGTGGTTAGCTCGAGGGCCAAATTTTTATTAAAGGACGGAATCATAGGCAGATGAGCTTGAGGGCCCAAGGTTAATTGCAATCTATTGTCTGACAGAGCCTCGAGCGGTTAGCCTCGAGCGGTTAGCTCGAGAGCCAAGAATTTATTAAAAGGAAAAAAACCTTGAACAAGAAGCTCAAGGACCTCAAGCTTATGAAGTATTTAAATTACATTTATTTCTCACGTGGCAGATGCTCGGAGCGAGCAGCTCAGGTGCCAAGGAGGTTATGTTTTTAGAAGACTATGTGGGTAATCATGTGCCTAAGTAATTAAATGAGTTAAGTATTTCTTAAAGCAACATAACTTTGAAAAGGGTAGCTTGGATGCCAGAGCAAAAATTAAGAAGCTCAGAAGTGTTTGAAGAAACATTCATTCACTCATAGATAAAAGGTGAAGCAGGAAAAAGCATTTATAAGTAAAAGCGAACAGACGCAATTAGTCGATAACAGAAGAAAAACTTATACTAGGAGTTTACAAGTAGATCTATGACATAAGAGAGCGTCAAAAGAAAGAGACCTGAGGGAATTTTAGGGGTCGAGGCAGTTTCCTGGACCTGGTCACCAGCTTCCACGACCATGCCAACTATCTTTCTCCCAGCTCAAGGGTCGAGCCCACCACGGGTGGTCCTTAGGGAGAGTAAGGTCACCGTTCCTACCGTATTGGTTGGGCATGTTCTTGACCAAGGATGTATTGTCCCAGTTCCCAGTGTAGCCCTAGCCTCAGCTTGAGCTCGCGTCCGGTCTGTTCCAATCATGAAGTATTGCTTAGATGCAGGGAAGATCCAAGTCAGAAACTTGTTCGAGTTCCTGAACCACTTCATCACCTCGAGCTAATAGTGCTCCAGAAACTGAGCTCTCGAGAGTGAGGACAAGAAGGAAGCATGAACCTCCTCGTGAGCTTGCTCCACCCACTTGTCCATCATAGTCTTCAGTTTTGCGAACTGAGTCCTGAGGTAGGCAATTTTAGCGTTCTTGCCTCGTACTCAGTAGTCGCCTTGTTAAGCTCACATTTCTAGTAGCTCGTCAAGGCCCGAAGCTTATGCAGGCAGACTTGTTGTTTTCGAGATCCTTCTTCAGTTTGGCGAACTCCTTAGAGTCGTCATTCAGAGCCTCTAGGGGATTGGGGCCGAGCTCAACATATACCATAAGGATCAAAACAGTAAGAGTGGCAAGCTCAGGACACAAAAGATTACGTAATTAAATAATTGAGGTAAAAGGGTAAGTATAGTTGGACATAGTGATTGATAGCATATCCAGCTCGAGCCGCTTTGTTGGCAGACCTGCGGTCAGTTTCTCTATTAAGAAAAGTGGAAAGGAGGCGGTTTGCATATGTCTCAATGTATTGCGAAACGTCTGGGATGAACAATTATAGTCGCAGTGCACGCATTCTCCTCCACCTTCTTCTTTTTGGAGGACTTTTCTCTTTTGCGTTCAGGGACGGTGCGCTTCGAGCTGGTTAACTCGATTTACTTGGGGAGCTCAAAATTTGGCTCTTTATGGCCAAAAGGCTCGACCAGCAGTACATTGAAAGGTGTTGGTTGCTCAACAATTTCTTTAAACACTTTCGAGCTAGAGTTTGCTCGACGCCCATCGAGATGAAGAAATAATCTGCAAAAATAAGAAGCAACAAACACAAGGATTCATCAACAGATTGAGGTCGTGGAAAATAAGGAAAGAAAACAGAAAATAAATAATGGCCACCTAGGTCGGTGATCTCGAGGGCTTTGTAGGAGGATAACTCGCAATGGAAAAGGAGTTTAGGGTCATCAATGAGTTTGACGATGCGGGAAGAAAATTCAGTCCATCGGCGATCAACTTGTTGTAGAAGTAGAAGGTCTGGGTTTTTAAGCTGGCTAAGAAGCTTGTCAAGCCACTTAGGAGATAATTCAGAAGTATTTGGGGGAGGTCGTACAAATAGGTATTTTGTTTTCCAAGCCGATACGTTGGAAGGAGGTTCTGAAGAAAGTTGGAAGTGTTACGGCCAGAAAGATAGTAAGAGCCTTTCTGGGGTTTGAGCCAGTAGCAGTTAAATAAAAAAGTCAGGGTCTAACTGGTTAAGTCGACACCGACTGGATGGTGAACCCAACCATTATGCGAATCAAGTTTGGGGTAAAATGATTAAAAGGGATATAATAGGGTCAGGTGAGGGCCACCAAGTCGTCTCGAACAAGAAATTTGAGCTCGGTCTGGATATGGTCAACTAATAAGAGATAGTAGCCCGAGAGGGGCTGGTCGAAGGGTTCACCAGGGCACCCGAAAGTCCCAAGATCGGGGGAGTTCACAATTGTGAAGTCGAGTTGTTATTTGTCATTAGAATAATAGGTCAAGGGATTACGTTTTCGCATCTTCACTAGGTCGGATACGACCTCGACTTTTTTTGCCTCTAACCACAGTTATTCGATCTCGTTGTTTGCGGTTAAAAGGGAGAGCTAAAACGGGATTCGTGTGGTAGCTCTCAATTATGGAGTCGAACTGGGCAGCAGGGACGTTCCTAGAAGGTTGAGAAGAAGAGGTCGGAGAGGTGGCTTCAATAGAGTTTGACATGATAGCTAGAATACTAAAAATAAATAAAAAGTGAAAGGGGGTTGGCAATTTCTGAAAACCCAGAAAAAAAAAAGAAGAAGATCGAATACGAAGATGAGAAAAGTAGAAGAAAACAGAATCAGAAAAAACACATACCCATAAGTCGCGAAAAATGTGAGTAAGGAGATGGTCGGAGTCCAAACTACGGGTCGCCGAAAAATAATGTTATCAACTGAATTTCTTAAAGAGTAAGTTTTGAGAGCACTGTTCTAAAAATCGACCTAGGCGGTGCCCAGGCGCCTCCGATTTGCGCAAATCGACAGAAAAAAATGGGCCAGGCGGCTAGGCGGCGCCTAGCCGCTCCTAGGCGGACTTGGCGGGCTTGACGGTCAGGCGGTTAGGCGGCGCCTAGGCGGACATAGGCGGACCTAGGCGCTCCTAGGCAGGCTCGACGGCAATTTTTTAGTTTTTTTTTTAAATATTAATTACATTATTTTGTTCTCATGTTTTCTTTAAAATATATTAATTTTATTATTTGGACTTAGGTGTGTCGATTTATTATAAGTTGAGATATTATTATTCTGTATGTAGTTAAAATAAATTAAAGATAAGGTACTTAATATTGATTTCTAGGAGTCGCCTAGGCGTTAATCGAGCGCCTAGCGGGCGCCTAGCGACTTTTAGAACACTGTTTGAGAGTGAAGTAGGTGAGAAATGTAAATGGTGGGTCTATGTGGTTTTTATAGTGATGAGGGAAAGTGCAGTAGTCGAGGTTCCAGATGAGCCATCGATCAAATGTTGTCCCAGTGGTCTGAATTGACCAAGAAAGATAGATTTGGGAGACATGAAAGGTCGATTTTTTTATATTTTTTTTGGCATTAATCTGACAGAAGATAGATGGTGCAAAACAATGGGCGCATTTGAAACGATGTTTCTGACAAGTTGGATTAGGTCAGCTAATTAAAGGCATTTATAGCCGAAAAGACAGGTTGGGTGCAACAAATCATCCTTGCACAAGTCCCGATAGCTAGTTCAAGAATAAGAGTGAGGGGGGAGGCTAGATGAAACAACAACACCCAGAATAGCTTGGTAGACTTGAGTGGGGAATGACCAGTCTAGCAGAGCTTAAGCTCGGTATCATCATTTGACCTCGTCAAATAGTTCGCTTAAGCAGCTCAGGATACAAGTCGACCTAATAAGAGGACCCATAGGTAGAGCTTCTCCAAGAGCTCAAACATATGAGGGAACCTCGCAACTCGAATGTCGTGAGACCTCGTTAGAGTCTGTGGCATGATGGTTGTGATGTCATTAGAATGACCTAAGGAACTAAGTATTGTATGATAAGAGGGGACAAAATTCTTCAAGGATGGAAAGTACATATCACTAAGTAGTCTAAGATCCTAAAAACATGATAAACTAGGAAGTAGATACGATTTGATCTCTTTTCTAGCTGGAACTTTACTTGGGCAATAAGACACCATAGACTATAAAGAGTGGTTCTATTATTGCTTAACGCATGTTTACACATACAACATATAGTTTTCGTTATTCTCACGAGAAATAGAATACTGACTTAAGCGTTGGAAATTTTCCGTCGGGATCCCTCCCCTTCGTATTGCAGGTCACTGGAGCTCGAGACAGAAGACCGTTCATGGTGATGCTGGTTTAACCAGGTTTTAAGGACAATTTTCATATCACACAGCTCGCAATGCACGAGCGTACAATGTAACGCATCACCGCCTATGATGGTCCAGTGCGAGCGTCCATGATGGTACATGTTTGTTGGCACAGAATCACATCGTCTGTTGTTACTAAACTGTTGTCTAGTCATTTGGTCGCATTCTTTTTTTTTTAAACTATAAACTTTAATAAAAGAAAAACACGTAACTACTGATTAAAAAGCAGCTAAATTGCCGAATAAAGAAGCTACTCAACTGAATTATAGTTGGGTGGACTAACCCCATAGGCACCGTTCCCGAGGCAGCCTAGAGCCAACCTAAACACAGAGAACCAACACTAGAAACAAAAGCTCTTAACATGGGAAGAAACCAACTCCCAACAGAAGAATATATTAAATCTCAACAGGGGAATAAAACACCGAACAAAAACATACAACTAAACAAAGAAGCTAGAACACACTGACAAAACGAAAACCACTAAACACAAAAACAACAAACTTACACCCTCCACACTAGACAGAGCACCCAACGCCAACTCAGCCTAAGCTAGCACTCAAACACGAACAATTGAGAAGATGCTACAAGAAATACAGTCCAAACACTACGAAATATAAACTTCCCTAATGGACTACCTAGAGTCAAACGGCGGATCCAACAACCACCCTCGGAACTCCGCAGACCAACCCTGGCCAGTCCACTCCACATCGCCAACCGCCACGCCACCGCGTAAACACCACCGGAGGACTGCACTTTTCCAACACCAGGGAAGGTAAGAGATTGGAAAACCAAGGCTAGACCACCGCCATGGACCTCTGCAAAGACGACAACAGTGTCCGCCGGAGCACAGTCGCCGACGATTCCAGTCGCTACTCGCACTCCATTGCACTCGAGATGAGAGAAGACCCACTTTGGGGAGGAAGAAACGAGGGACTGCTATAGCCGCACCGCCAAGCCCAATGCGAGCTAGCTGACCGCCGGGACTGCAGGTACTAAGGCCACTAGAGGGGGGAGACACCTAAGGAGGAGGAACGACTAGGGCACGGAGGTTTTGATTTGAAGGTTCCTAGAGAAAGTGTAATGCCATGATTCACCGATTTGGTCGCATTCGTTCCTGCCAAACTTAGTTGGAATTGTGCATCTTCACCCTCCACCTCTTGGACTATATCCAGTCCTTATCTCTACTTTAGAGTAGAATTAACCAAAAATCAAATTCGACCTCCAGCCGTTCGCGCTACATTCTACTCCACATATATTATTATTTTAATTTATTTAACATGTCAAAAAATTATTTAATTGGACATATTATTTTATAAAATAAATTATATCGTGATGTTAGTTGGTCTTCCACTGGTTTGAAATATTGTTCCACAAAAAATATTATTTTTATATATTATTTGATTTATTTTATAGTAATTCAATATAAAAATATATTTTTTAATAATAATTTTTTCATATAATTCTCAAATTAAAAATTTAATGGTAAAAACTTTGTCAAATAATAAATTTAAGATAAATTAATTGCATATAATAAGAAATAAAAAACAAATAAAAATTGTAGAGTAATGAATAGTACCGCGCCACATCTGGTGCGATACTACTCATAACTCTAGAGTAGTGCAGAGATGTAGCGCAGCGTTGTAGAGCAATTTTATCTCTACTCTAGCGTAAACAGAGCTCTTGTATAATTTCAACTGTAATTTTGCATTTTATTTCTTCGTGTTTTCTTTTATCTAGAGCGTATACAATAATAAAGTGAACGTACAATAATCAAGTGAAGTCAAAATTTAATGCATTTAAAATGTCACTGTATAGTGTATGCTAAACATAAGTCTGTTGATCTTGAAACTGGTTGTCATAAAACATAGGTATTAATGTGAAATTTTAATTTCAAGGATAGTATAATTTTATATATACCCTATCATACTCGCTTTGTTCGTTTTCCTTTTTTCTAAGTCATTTCATTCATAAAAGATCATTACCAATATTCAGCACTGGCACTAAGTACATTTTTTTTTTTTTTTTTTTT